TTCATATTTCATTTTTTTGAATGTTGTAGAAGCCAGCACTGTTGCAATGTTTCCTTGGTTTGCTTTGAGTATGATCCTTTGGAGTTACTGAAGCACATTGAGATGTGCCATACTTTCCTAATGAGCTTGAGCTGGTATAAATGAGCACTGCTGCTGATTTTCACCTTACCCTTATGTGCAATTTCCATGCCTCAGTTCTATACCAGTAGTTTGCGCAGCTATTGAGGGAAGCAGATAACTTGCGAACTCTTTTCTTCTTTCTTCCCATCTACAGTACATTTTAATGTAGGCTAGTTCTCTCCTCTCCCACTGCAGAAGGAGGTAACAGAAGTTGGTAGCTGCAGCTGGCTTCTCTGCACTTGGCCACCTTGGGTGGATAGCCTTGGCCAACACTGGGACTGCTCCCTCTCTTGCTCACAGCAGTTACGAAACATTCTGCATCCTGCCCTTCTACACAAGCTTGGAGCATAATTGTGGAGCAGAAGAATAATGCTTGCCTGTCCTTGTGACAGTGTGTTTGTAATTGAGGACTCAATGAACACTTGTTTCCTGCATCGTTCATTCACCTAACCTAGTTTAAGGAAATTACCTTGTGTTGTTGTGGTTGGAATTTCCTCATAGGTGATGTCAACAGTCATGCATGCAGCTTGGGCAGCTGGAGCTCTCCATATTAGCTGTACAGGCATTGAGCAGACTGTATCTATCCAGCTGATACTAAAAATATTACTAATTATAGTTCAGAAGCACATGGACGGTATTTATACCAAAGCTTGGATGGGTAGAAAGTTGGCAGGAGCAAGAAGCTATTTAGACAACGAAGTCAGTCAAATGTGCAAGCAGGTGCTTATTCACACTGTCCCTAAAGAATTTTTATTTTCTCTATAAAGGCTTCTTAAAATTCCCATTACCCTTTTTGAAGTGCTGTGTGGTGACCTTTTAGGAAAGCACTTAACTCTGTCCTTTTGGGAAACCCCAGGATAGTAAATACTTGGTCATACTGTCACAGAAAGTATTTCATGTGGAGCTGAAGGTTGGTATCTCGGAGAAGAAAAAGAAATTCCAGACATCTCTCTTATTTTACAGGTCCCTGACAAAGTAAGGGCATTTTGACATCTGAAAACCTTCTGGTTCTTTTTTTTAATATTAGTGCTCTTAACATTTTTCTGAATAGTCCACGGAGGAAGCATAAAGGACTTGATAATGTACCATAAACACTTGAAACGTGTGGAAAAAAAAAGCCAACAAACCAATTTGACTTCTCCCCCTAAAAACACCAACATTAAATATACTCACTGAGAACTTGTTTATATGTAGGCTCATCCACGCCTGGAAGAATCTAGCAGCTGTTTCTATTTCTTTGTGAGAAAAATGCTCTCAGTTATGAAATGGTGCATCAGGAGTACAATAAAGAATAAAGCTTTTATATTGTTGCTACCACTGGCCTTAGATTTGCACATAAACTTATATATAAAGAAAATTCTGATGCATGTGAACAACATTCAGAAATAGTAGTTGAATGTTAAAGGAAGTATTGTGGTCAAAGAAGCGTGGTGCATTTATTCCCCTGACCCAATCTGTGAGGTTTTCTGACACTTCTTGAGATATGTAACCCTCCCTATTCTTCCTCTGTATAAAAGCATCAGTGCATTTTGTTATATTTTCGCTATTCAACCTGACAAATGATATTAAGCTTAAAAACATCAGTGTTTCCAGCTCATACAGATGAATCCATGAATATCCGATGTCTTCCTTAAGAATATCTTCACAGAGTTTTATTTTCAAATAATAGTCCCAAAATATTTTATCTGGAATGAAGACTTCAGTATGCCTTCCAGAATAAATCCTGGTGCTGAGTAAACCATTTCTTTCCCTTTATTACTGGGTATGTAAGCTGTTCCTAGGAGAAACCCATATTTTTTAAAAGAGGGTGAAAGGATAAGTATGTTCCTGTAGTACAAAGAAGTATTACAGAATCTTCCATGTCAGCCTAGCTGGTGCTTAAGTGACAGTTTGATGTGAATTTTCAGATGAAATCTTCTAGAGATACAGGACCTGCATAACTAAAGTAAATAGACAAGTCAGTTTCCAGCAACAACAATAGAAAACCCTGAAATACAATTTTAAAATATCCTGAAGGAGGAAACTTGTGCACAGGTCTGCTTTTCTCCCTGTGGTCATGGTTGAATAGTTGCAGGGAAGGGCTGTGGTACCCTCACATGAGAAAAATTCATGTATATACTGCCTGCTGACTGCTTTAGTTTTCTGGTGTTGCTCTCTGTCACAAGGATTGCCAATAAGCCGAAGTACATAAATGAAGGGAAATTTAAAAATTTAAGTTATGCTGTGACCTCATCTGAGAGACTTTGTGTACCACCTCAATCATTTCTGTAATCACTGTTAATTCAGTATCAGAGGAAACTGCTCTGCAGTGATAGGGATTTGTAGTGTACCACATCGCCATCAAGGCCTCTGCTATTAAACTGAACCTGTGATTTAATGGTCAACTATCCGTCCATAGGCTTCATAAAACCAAGCAGGTTTTTGACTGGCAAGTTGCTGCTTAAATCTCTCTGAACCCTCTGAATATCTGTATGCCAGATCACAGTCATTATTCATGCTTTTATCAGCTGCTTCTGCAGCAAGAAGAGTCCTTGTCCCCTTTCATCTTTAAGATTTGCTTGCCAGGCGATTAGAGGGATTTGTGTCTGACAGCCACATAATCTAATCACACTTGCCTTGCAGAAATAGTGAGATTAAATTCTGCCCATGTTGTTGTTATATTCTGGTGTGTGTTGGGGAGTTAACCTGGCCATGGAATCAGGACATCTGAACTCAGTTTCCAATGCATGTTCCTTGTGTGACGGGACTTAAAAGTCGTGTGGGTTGAACTTGGCTGACTGCCACCACTTAGAAAGGAGACTTATGGCAGTCAGCATGCTGGAGGAGCATAGAGGGAAAGGAGTGTCTCTGAAGCACTAGACAGGGAAACTAAGGTAGAGGAGAATCTGATTCTCTCTGCTGATTCTGAAAGCTCTCTGCAGCCAAGAATTTAAGATATACAGAAACGGAGAAAATGCAGAAATTTGCTTTCATTTGCAGCCTGGTGGTTAGGGCAGGCTCTTTCAGGAGGGGTTTATTATGGGCCTTCTGGTTCATGCTGCAAAGATTGCTTTCTGACCTGCCTCCTCACTCCAAATAACTAGCAGCATTGTTTGAGTGGTGTTTGATTTTGTGTTACCAAGGAGTGACTTGGTTCCCCATGCTGATACATCACCTGCACTACACTGTATAAGCAGATGAGTGAATGTATTCAAGCATTAAACTTGCATCTACTTCTATAAAATAAAAAGTCATAAATTTTCTTTTACATTGCAGCTTGTCTCTTCTACTAGGATACACTACTTCCTTCCTCCTTTATCTCGGGATGCTTTTGGTGTAGTAAGCTAGCTACATTTTAGGTTTCATCCAAAAGGCATTAGGTGCTTTGTCTGTGTGAAATGCTTAGTAGCTTCAGATTCCTCCTGCATCTCTTCCAGTGCAGTTTTCGTTGCTTTCCAGCTAGATCTCAGAGTCATCTCTTCATCCTCATCTTTCTTGGCTTAGTTTCTTCACCACAGCCAGCCCATGCTCTTTCCTTGAATTTTGCTGTCTCCTGATTTGCAGGAGTCTGACATCTCTGGTTATTCTGTTATCTGCCTGATTGCTGCTGCAGACAGTGCTTCTCTCTTGCCGTTCCCACCCCAGCAAAGAAGTTAGGAGGTTCTGTAGAGTTTTGTTCTCATTCCCAGCACTTAAAAAACTCAGGATTGTAAGCAGAGTTACAAGCCCATCAGAATTTCAGTTGTTTCTATTGCCAATTGCAAATTAAGTAGCAACAAGACACTCGTAGGTATTGCAATTTGTATTTTGTCTTGCTTGTCAACGCACATTTGATGACTGTCTTGTGCACAACTCTCCAAACTGCCTCTCTTCCAGCTGCACTTTCTTTTGCCAGCCAGAAGCACCTATGTTGGTTCCTTTCCATAGAAAAGTTTTGGCACAGCATAAAAAATGACTAATATGGAGCTCTTCTTATTTTTTGTGTACACTGAAACTTTTCAGCTATTTAAACTGCTGTATTCCTATTGCTTCTCATATTGGCCAATGTTTTCTTCATGGTCACCAGTGTTTTCAAGACTAAGTACTAGCTGTCTTGCCTCTTACTTTGAAAGTCACTGTAGTATGGAGTACTTTTTCTTGTGTTTATACATAGCATACTAGAAAAGGATGCTGAACTATAGCTAGGGCTTATAAGTACTCATATAAAAAAATAATAATTTAACTTACCGTGTCAACTACACGTAATCTGGATTTTCAAGCTAGATGGCTTTCCTGATAGGAAGAGAGAAGGTGGCATGCATGTAAGTTGGTTAAGATGCCTGAAGATGAATATCAACAATTCTATTGCATTGTGGGCAGATAATGTTTTCTACTGTTCTTTCAGAGTAGCTGTGGTTGATAATTGATAATTATTATAATAATCCTCTGTAAAATAGTTATTTTTGCTTAAAGCAAACAAAAATGTGGAACATATAAAGAGATGTCAACTTAAAAGTCGCATTCAGTGTGGAATGACTGAAATGAATACTCCCGGTATGGAAAGAAATCAAGGGATTTTTTTTCAGTTCTTTCAATTTTACTTTTGGCACTGAATCCACAAATGAAATTTCTGTGACTTTACCCTAATGCTGTGTTAAGGAGTTAAGGGTTAAAAATATTAGTAAGCAAAATTTCAAGGGAAGATTTGAAGATAGAGTTATTATGGGTCTTATATTGTTGTTTAAAAAACAAAAAACAACAACAACAACCTAACAAATATCCTACAAACAAATCACTGTACAATTCAATTTGCCTCTATTTCTTTTCTTTCTCTTTTGTATTCCTATATTTTGCATTTCCATTATTATTTTTTTTTGTTATCTGACTTAGATTTTAAAGGAGAATAACAATTTTTTTTTCAGAGTGTTGGGAAGAAAGTACCTCCAGCCACAGCAACTCAGGAGCCAACAAAAACAGAAGTGGACAGCAGAACAAAAAGTAGGTTTCATAGCTTTTACTTCTTTGCGCTTCGTACTATTGAACCTCTTAAAAGCTAACTGAGCATTTTTTCTGGTTTTGGCTAGAAGAGTAGTATCCTGTATGTATGAAAAGCAAGAATGCAGATGGATATATTTAGGACAAACTTTGAGTAGGTGGTACACAGACAGAATGTTTTGTTTCACAGAATCCTCTGAATTGTTTCTGCTTTGATAATCCTACCTTGAGTTCCCTGCCATTGAAATCAAATTAAATTACATGATCAGCTTTTGGCCTGGAGGGTACTTTGGAACATGTCAGAGTTTAGTTAAGATCCAACTTCAGTGTCGTAACTTGTAGGTAGGTCATAGAAAAATATCTCTGGTTCTGAACACTCCTACTTTTTCCTCTTTTTTCTTTGTTTCTGTAGCAGACATATTTGTGTGGGTGGTACAGAATCAACGAATTTCGGTTTTATTTGGTTATTTAGATGCTTAGTAGAGCAAAAAGGAATAATTAAATCTTTTAGGAAGGTCTCAGTGCAGTTCTAAGGGAATGCCAAATCGTTTGTTTTGACTCATATGAAGTTGCAGCTAAATGTTATAGATACTTGTAGAAAACAATAAGAAGGAAGATAACATAGCCATATATTAGAAAAGAAATGGATTATAATATAAGGTATTGAGTTTTTAAGTCCTTCCCTGATGTGTTTGCCTTTTTAGATAGTTAACAGATAGTGTTTTGTCTCAGAACTGAAATACCAACAGAGGAAGGCAAGGACAAGAAGGCAGGAAAAAAGAGGCTATCTGGCAGAAGTGTACAGGAAAGACCACATGCTATCAGCTCAGAATTGTAAAAGCAGCTTGAAACAGCTTAGTGAGTTACTGTTACTGTTCATTAACTAGACCATGGTAATTGACTTTCTGCATCCTCTTATCTTGTTCCCCTTGTAAGGCTGTTAATGTGAAGTACTGCAATAACTCATTTGCCTGGAGGAAGTGAGAGTTTTAAATATTGAAAAGTGTGCAAACTGGTACTGTAGAGCAGGGCTTCAGAATGAACGTGCTTTGGAATTACCTTTGCCAGTCCACAGCTTGATAAGATTAAGCTGGCCTACAGGTAGGTGTCATCTGAAAGGGTGCTCCCATGGCTTTCCCACCTGCAGCATCAATGCTTGCACGTTGAGCCAGACAAAGAAATGCTCAATATCTTTCTCCACATTAACTCGTGGTTTTTTTGGCAGCTCAAACTGGTTACAAAATCACACCCCATGGTACTGAAGCTTCATGCTTGTACCACCTATAAACAAATATGAAAGCCTCCAACAAGGGCTGGAGAACTCTACCTTCCACAGTGACACACTGTACCCCTCCCTCTTAGACTTGAGCTTTTTTCACTTTTGCCTGGAATGGCAGGGTGCCAGCTGTCCTTGGAGCCTTTAATTGCTAAACTGAACAAGGTACTGTGGCGTTCTCCAAAGGTGTAGTTTGAAATGTAAGCTTAGTATGGAGAGGGAGCTCTTGGGTATGTGATTTGGATTCCCTTGTGATTGCTGCCAGAGATGTATGCTTGAAGCAAGAGAAATTGCATTGGCAGAGGAGTAGTAATATGTTTTTTCATTTTCCTCCTGTTTCTTTTCATGACTGCTGTTGTTCCTTATTCTGTACTGGATAACAAAGGCACTTGCACTGTGGACTAGCCTACTGAGCCAGGAAAAAGGGAGCAGCACCACTTCCTTTTCTGCACAGGGGGCTACACTGAGGAGTGCTGGTTGCTGACTTCACTCACATCTTGATGAATGAATCTGTTTTTTTCCCTATACCTGTCCCAGTGAGATGAGGTAGTGGTTGGCACTTGAACGTGCATGCCATTTGCTCCCTGGTCTGCACAAGATGGCCCAAGTTTTGCAGTAGGATGAGCTGGTCAGAGCAGAGATAACTGTATTTTCCATAGGTGCATCTCCCAGTAGTCTGCTATGTGAATTTCCTTAATAAATGACCTTAAGCTTTTGTGAAGTTCTTAAGTTCTTTACCATTAGTGTGGTGAGGTGCTGGAACAGGCTGCCCAGAGAGGTTGTGGATGCCCTGTTCCTGGAGATGTTCAAGGCTGGGTTGGATGGGGCTCTGGGCAGCCTGGTCTAGTATTAAATGTGGAGGATGGTGGCCCTGCCTGTAGTGGGGGGGTTGGAGCTTCGTGATCCTTGAGGTCCTTTCCAACCTGGGCCATTCTTTGATTCTGTGATTCTGTGAAATAAATAGCTGATCATTATCAAAATCAGAGACAGAATGGCTTTTGCTCAAGCACACAGTGCAGTAAAAGCACGAAGACGTAGAGAGCTCTAGTGGTCCCTTGGAAAACAGAAAGGGAAAGGAAATATCACTAACTTCTTAGGAATAAAAGAATGCATCTTTGAATGGAAGAGGGAAGAACTTTTGTTTTAGGTTTGTGCCTGCATAGTCTTCTAGGGAAGTAAATCTGCTGTTGAATTTTCAACTGTTTTATGTGTGGCTCAGACTTACATGTATTTATACTCCTGTATAAGTATAAATATAAAAACCTCTGGGGTGAGATTATTTATCTTATTATTTATTTTGCAATGAAATAGCTTGCCTTTACTTGAAGTGTCTTGCAGCGGAAAGGCTGTTTTGTAGATAATACATATCAATTTTCAAGTAGCTCTGCCGGATTTTGTAATTCAGCAAAGCAAAGTATTCACAATGACTGACAGAACCATTACAGCTTACTGAGACTGCAGAAATGGAGTGTAAGTGCGATGACAGCAAAAAAGCAAAGACAGTGAGTCAAAAAGTGCACTGACCGTGATACTTAATTTGATTACTCCACTCACTGATTATTTACAGTTTGTGTTAACCTATTACATAATAGGAATACCAAAATCCTAGCAAGTACTAAGCTTCTTGTATGACGATAGAAAGAGTATGAAGAGTTGCTGAATCTGGATTAATGAGGCCCTAATTAGTTCCGGATATTTTTGTTTTGTTTCGTTTAATGAGGTGGTGTTTTGATCCTTTGAGTCTGTTGCAGTTCCATGAAATTATTTTTTTAGTGCTATCCATTTATGAGTCTTGAAGGCAGTGATTAATGATAAAGCCAAATTCTGCTGAGTGTGTTGTTGGGTTTTTTTTCCCATCTGTTTTATGTTTTTGGTAACAATTATGTAATTTTTCCCTAGACATTGTAGATTTTGTTCAATTTCAGAAAGCCTTTATTTGAGCAGTAGTTAAAAAGAAGATGCTTATGCCCAAAGATAACTAAATTAATTCTGCTAGTTTACTTACTTAATATTTCTGTATGATTTAGACTTCATCGAGGGAGAAATAATTAAGCCTCAAAAATCAACTATATCAGATAATTGCTTGCTTTACTAAAAACTAACTATCAATTTCTGAAAAGCCAGACAGGTAAATTCAGAGCCCGGTAGTTATATTATCTGAGATGGAGCAGATTTTCCCTTGAGGCAGAACAGATGTTGCCTAACAATAAGGAAAGAGCAGCAGAAGTAAGCAGAGGAACCTATATCATCCTAGCCTAAGAAAAGCAAATTCCAGAGTAAGTATCCCCTGTGTAGTTTAAGTGAAAAGGTATGTACGTCTGAGGACCATGATCTTGAATGTCTCAACTCATTCTAAGAGACTGGCAGGAGAACAAATAGAAGAGGCATCCCTTTAAAATGTGCAGGTTCTGCTGATGCAGTAAATTCAGTTTGCCCAGTTCTGGTTTGGACAGTACAATATTTAACCAGTCTCTCAAAGTAAATGTACATCAAGCCACTGCATTCTGTGGGTGAAATACAGTGCTTGTGACAGCCTAGATAATGCAGCAGCTGTATTCTGTAGGAAGGCCATCTGTTGCTGCCTTTTTCCCTCTTTGAGGAAATGTTTTTCTGGAGGCTTAAGGCTGTATCAAATAGCCCATATTTTGAATGCTGGGCAGACTGTGGGTCATAAGGTGTTAAAAGAAGATGCATGTTAACCATCCCCCTAAATCATCCAGTTCTTATTAGGGGATAGACTTATTTATTGTTCAGGGTAGTTCTGAGACTATTTCCTCAATGTAGCATGGGCGATGGCAAGCAACTTGTTATAAATATCTAATTCCTTGCTGGTATTTATTCTTGCAGCTTTTGACTGATGAGGATGATTCTGGGAAGCTCTTGGGGCTCTATCAGAGAATCTAGCAATGGCTTTGTTCTTCATTTCAAAGGATTGGATTGCAAGGGTTGTGGGCAGAGAAAATAAAATGCCTGTTGTTGTGTCATCATTGTTTCTAGTCTAGCTGAAACACTGTGGTTCGAAAATCATGGAAGGTACTTGGGGATGCATATTTTTTAATGGTATTGTACCTAGTCCGTGCTCTCTCAGCTTATAATATATAAGGCAAGAAACTGAACATCTTGCATTAGATCCAACTTGTTTGAGTTTCAAGACATATGGCAAGGTTCATCTGCTCACTCAATCCCCTGAGAAATGTCCATTGTATATGACAGGTTGTTTTCCTTTGCTTGGGAGCAGCTGCAAGTACACAAGCAGAGACTGTGATCTGAAAGAGTAAATTGTTGTTGAATTACTAAATGAGAACTGAAAAGCTTGTGAATATCATGTTTTTCTCCTCCCTTAGTGTTTCCAAGATGTCTACTGCTGAGGGCTTATGGAGAGGTATATTTTTAAAACATATCTTCAGGTCAGAGGAAAGAAAGGGAGGCTTCTGGAAGAACCATCTGTGATTTATAAACCCAGCCTAGGATATCAAATGTAAAAATGAGATTTATCACCCGAAGTTAAGGGATGCTTAATATTGGTATCTTAGTCTGAAGCTTTACTTTGGCTTAAACCTATTTACCATGCTTGTAATTGGATATGTTGCTTTGACCTTTTTTTTTTTTCCTACTTAGAAAAAGCCCAAATTCAGCAAGTTACTCTGTGCTCTCTTCTGTGCTGTGTTTGAATTTAGTATTGCCTTTTATCTTTTTTTTTTTCCTTCCTATCTAAACATAACTGGAAATTATGTACTATTACATCCTTTCGCTGTATTGTTCTCTGCTGAGTAAGGACAATGCTAGTACATAAGTTACTTGTCTTATTAGATTTTTTTCTTCTTTTATTAATCTGAATTTGGAGATTCATACTACTTTGAGTCCTGTTTGACTTTGGTTTTGCTTATATAAGTCATGCTAGACCACCTTTTTCATAAGAGGAGCTTGAAAGCTGACTTTATCCAGTCGCTTACATTGTCTCAAATCCACCAGTGTTTTTGAGACCTGGCTCTGTTGCAGTGTGAACCAGAGGGTCCTCACTGGCCAGAGGAACATATTGATGTAGTGTATGTCAGTGTGAATCACACTGAAGGAATCCAACCTCATAGTGTACATAAACTATGACTTTTTTTCCACATCTGTGCCTTCATCCTGAGTTCTTGTCCCAGCCTCAGTTCTCTCTCATGCCTATCACAGAAATGTCTCCTGGCTCTTTGTGCAGTGCATCAACATTTGCCTATGCTCACAATGGTTTTTTTCATTTTGTTTTCTTTTATTTTTTCTGATGTGTCATTTTTTTCTAGCTTAATTCCTTATTTCTCTACTATTTGAATATTTAAAAAAAAAAAAAAGTCAAGAGTTTGATGTGGAGGGCAGAGATGTCATGCAGTAACAGAGTTATTGATACCAGATCTAAAAGGTGAAGATTCATAGCAGTTTCCTATATATGAAAGACTAGGAGTTTTTCAGTTAGTCTTGCTGGTTCTGACCAGCTACTGATTGTGGGATCCACATTGGCACATACTTTTAGAGGAAGAATTTTAAAAAAGAAGAAAGAGAGCAATTAATTACCTGATTATCAACAGACATTTTTCAACACTAAAACCACAGCCTTCTGTCCACTCTGTTGATCAAGGGCTTCATCCTTATTTAAATGTACTGTCCTTAGACAGAAGGAGGAACTGATGAAGATTTGCCCATTACAGGATTCAAGAGACAGAAATACCAGACTATTGCTGGTGAAAATATTCTTTAACTTCAGATGCATGGAATTCATTCACAGCTTGGGTGAGAGCTGACCACTTTCAGGATAGTATCATTTCTGTGTGTTACTGGCTGCTTTCTTGTTGTTTAGTCATTCATTCTGCTAGACTTACCTCCTAATGTGGAGTTTATAGTTAGTCCATGAAGGAACATTGTATTGTAGATGCAGTATCACTGTACTGCCCAGAAGACAGGGCAGTGTGCAGATAAAACATCCCAACTGAGTCCACAAAGAAAGATCCAAAGCCTTTATCCATATCACAGTGAACTAGCAATTAGACATCCCTTCCGTTTTCTGAAGTGAGTTGTGATGCAGTGGTTAGAGGCCATCAAAACTGAGACATATGTGTGAGCTCTTCTACAAAGTAACATGCGCTTTTTACAAAGGGTCCAGTAATTCCTGTGAGCATTTCTTTGGTCTTTTTAAGCCTGCTGTCTTACAATATCACATTGTATACATTATTTAATAGCTGGAATGCACATTCACTTTCTATTTGTTAGACACGTTGATGTTGGAGTATTCGTCTGTTGCACAGCAACGTGTTGTAACCTCTTTTCATCACAACTGCTTTTTAAGATTTCTGAATGGGAGTGCTGGCTCCTGTATTTTCTAGATGAAAGTTGATGCCTTTATTTATAGAACAGAAAGGGAAGAGGAGATGTTAAACTAATATTCAAGTCTACCTTTGTGCTGAGTATACAGAGGATTTAGTTATGAATGTCTTTACAGTTATTAATGTATTATTTCTTTTTTTTATCATTGGTATTGAATCAGAAATGCTTCCTTTCTTGCACATCAGGGATAGATAAGCTACGTTAGCCTACTAGGTCCTTTATGCTTCCGATTTACATTGGATTTACATGGCTACACCCATGGCAGTACTGCAGCAAGTGTCAGACACAAATCTGACACCTCCAAGAAAAACTGTTTATGGCAGGTTGCAGTCAGGAGAAATTCTATTTGAGTTAATCATGGATCCAATCACTGATCAAGCAAGGGCACCCAGAGCAGGGTGCCCAGGACCAACCAGATGACTTTTAAAGATTAACAAGGAGGAAGATAATGGGAAATAATGGTTCTAGGGATTGTAGAACTGACTCCGTGGTTGACATGTATGGGAATTCTCATCAGTGTGGAGTGCTTTAAATATTTCATAGAATTTATGAAGTTCTATAATGCAAAAAGGAAAATGGCAAGAAAATGAAAAAGCATGCAGAGACAGTTTGGGATCATTTTATGAAGATTTTCACCCTTGTTAAGCAGTGTTTATAAAATGATTTATCACATTGAATATTCTTCTTTCAGCCAAGGAGTATTGCAAAGTGATATTTCCATACGAAGCACAGAATGATGATGAACTCACAATCCGAGAAGGTGATGTCGTCACACTTATCAGTAAGGTAAAAGCAACATTTTTCTCCTACAAGCAGGGATCCAGTTTTTAAAATAGACATGATTTGATAACCATAAAATCCATGCTTGTGCCATCTTAAAATAATGCTGTTTTAGCAATGAAACATTAAATGAACTAAAAAAAGGTCTGCACATTGCCCTTCTTGTTGTGCTTTAGAGCCTTATTTTGATAAGGTTAAGAACAGCAAACAGAAAACTCTTGAGTTTATTAGTTTCTATAATTTTAACTTGTATATATTAGCAGATATACATAAATTCTGAATTGGTTCTTAAAACTAACATAAAATGCTAGGGAATAAAACAGAAGACTCAAGAAAGCAGCAGAATTGAATGTCATTGTTAGGTTTGTGTGTTGTCTTTATTGTAGGAATTGTGAATTAGAATTTTTGGGTTTGGTGGAGATAGTATGCCTAAATTAGTTTAATGAAACTTATTTAAAATGTTGTCACCTTTAGCACCACAATGAAGCAGAAAACACGCAGTAGTGATAACTGAAATGAAAGAATTTAAGATCTCAATTCCATAAATGATGGGTTTCATAAGAAATTGTTAGCAATTTTGCACCTGGGGAAAAAAAAAGCCTTGAAAATACATCTGTGACAGTGTTCACTCTGTTCTAAGCTGTTTACAAACTCAGAGGAAATCATATTTGTCCTGAAGAATATATATGTAACCAAGCAAAAATAGCAAGACATTTGTAGGAAAATAAATTGAGAATTTAAAAGAACTTGCCTGCATGAAATATCTGTTAGTGGCTACTTAAGCCTAAAAGCATCAACATCTTTCTTACAAACGTCATTGCAGTGACATTCAGTTAGATGGAAAGGGTAGGCCTTCACACTGAGAAACTCTCATGTGTCTGCAGTGTGGATGTATGTATATGTGCTTGCATTTCTCATCTGCTTTTTCTCCATCACCATTTTTTTCACTCAACTGTTTATTAGGATGACAAAAAATGTACAGCTGCCAAATGAGTCTGGTCTAGCTGTCCTTAAATTCCAATATTCTACGGGAGATTTTGTTTTTGAATAATGCGGCTAGAAATGCTGTGGTCAATCTGAATACTGCATACCAGGATTCATTCCATGTGCAAACTGATTTGATATTTTTAGTTATAAAAATGTCACCTCTCTTGTTTCACATAGATTAAATGTAATTAAAATGAGTCGGTTTTGTGTGTGAAGCTCTGGTTTCTAGTGCCTGATGTTTTATTATTTCATTTTATTTTTATTTTTTGTCATGCTTCCAATCAATGTAGCCCTTGCCCCCAGTGAGTTTTAAGCTTATCTTGAAAGTTGTTTGGCTTTGCATGATTTAAAATGTTCTGATGTAATAATTTAACAGTGTCTCTGAGCACAGAAATGCTTTTAAAAAGTTGTTCCTGTCCACTTTACACTTTATTGATCTGGCTGATTTAATTCCCAGGGATGGCTGGTCTCCAGATGGAGCAGTGTTCTTCACTGCACACAGATAAAGAGACAGTTGCTTTACTGCATTTTCAGTGGAAGATTTTGTTCGCTTACTTTTTCTCATTCTTTTCTCACTACCTCTGTCCCATTAGTGGAAACTTATTAGTCTTTTATAGTAACTGAGCTGATTATTTGACTGAATTGATGAGTACGTTTTTTAGTATATCCTCCTGTCCTATAAATCTGATTGTTTCAAGCCACTGCAGTTATTTTTCTTCCCTCTTTTCTGTGGTACGTCACATGTCCATGAACAGTTACATAAAACCATGCCTCTAGAGAGTGGGGGATCTCAATGCAAGAAGGCTTGTGTTTCTCCTTCGGTACTTTGTTATGCTTCATCTGAACTAATCTGAGATATCAAGAATGCAGTGTTTAACAAGCAGACACTTTGCAGACTCTTCTGTGGTTTGCAGACCTTGTTGGTTTTTTTGTATGTATTTATGTATTATTTTTAATACATAACTAAAAAAAACGGAATTTGGAGTTGAGGCCTTTGTCATACAGTTCTGAGAACAATGGGGTCTCCTCTGTGCTCTTACCATTGAAAACAGTAATTTTATTTTAGTCCAGAGCTTCTCAAGCAGGTGTCACAACATTTTTATTTCAGTCATCAGCAACAAAGAAAACCTCACCTTTTTGTCCAGAAGTTTCTGCCAGAGAGCTGCCTCTTACCCAGAGCTCAGAGCCTCGTGCCTAGAGCATCTTTTCCATAACCAGAGTTAGAGATCCACAGTGATCAAGAGGAACTAAATAGAAGTGTATGGAGCACTTCAGAAACTATTACCATGGTTTTACATTGCCATCAGATGACAGAGTTTCTCTTGATCTAATTGCAAGAAAGAAAATTGCACTGTTTGCTTCGTATGGTAGACAACATTAGACAAAGTTTATTCTTTCCAATTACTTAGATCACAGAGAGAAGATTGTTAATTTTAAAGAAATCGATGGGAGTAGTACTTCCTAAAACCCCAGATGCATTGCCATTTTGGTGAGATCACTAAAACCAGAAAGTGGTAAACCCTTCTTAGTATAAAAAGTACCTCACAAAGCTAATATGTTTTTGCACAGTCAGATAGAGAGGAACGTTGAAGGCTCACAATTTTAACTTGCTTTGAATTTACATTTATGTGAAAATGAAAACATTGGTGAGAACTTGTGAAAGTAGCAGAAATAATAGAAAGTGAATCACAACAGAATGGGGAATGCTGTGAAAATTCACAAAATGCATTGCAAGCCTCATAAAAGCAGCAAGATGAGATAGCACTGAATATGTATGAAGAGTAAGAGCAGTGATTTAATTGAGCTAAGTGGTATGGTATGAGGAGAGCCTGTGTGCTTGTGCATACACATATGAGAATGTGTATGTAAGGAAGATATTAGTCCATGGTTCATCTTTAAAAAATATTTTATAGAGAGAATTACAGAAGAGTGGTATCAGTAAGTGCAAAATTGAATATTGTTATTTTAAGAGCCCACCCTGTGGATGAAATTTCAGCTAAGTTAATTATAGAAATCACTTTTCTAGATCTGCAATATAAAGAAAAGACTGATTTTTTTTGTTGTTGTTTTTATTTTTATTTTTATTTTTTGATCCTGGTGTTTGCAGGATCTATATTAAGTTCTCACTGTTTTGGTGGATGTTGAAAGGTTGAATGAAAAACTGATAAGATCTGTATAGGTCTCTGCAATAGGGAAATTTTAATTATTTTGTGAAATAGCCAGTAAATATTTTGAACCGATTTACTGAATTTCAAGTGACTTCCCTTGTCACTTGAAGAATGTGCTGTTAAGTTTTATTTAAAACCGTAAGTGAGTCAGAACTCTGATCATTTACTGGTCAAAAGGTAGTACATTTTGGGATACACAGAGGCAAGAATGTCATTACACCTAACTGATAGCCAGAAGCAATTGCAAATTAATCAACATATTGAGTCATTTTTCAATGAATTGAATAGGACTAAATACTACAAAAAATACTGATAAGATAGAGTATAAACATATGGTAGTAACGGTTGTTTCCTCCTATGTGAAAATTTGCCTAGAGATAAGAAGAGCAAAAGGAGAAACTAATGTCTTCACATAAATGTATTTGAAATATATACAGAAAAGGTTTTTTTGTGTTCCTTTTTGACAGTGAATGCCTTCGTATATGCTTAGAGTATGTTTTATTGATTAATTACTAGAAGTGAGGGTGGACAAGCAATAATCTTTAGTTCCTTAGTGCAAAATATTTAAAGATTGGAGGTTAGAAAATATTGTTCAGAATTCTAGAGGAAGGCAGAAACTTCATCCTGATGGCAAGAGAATGGTATAGAATTGGAACCTTCGCTTTGCTGCAAGGGAGTATAAGAAGAATGTACCTTTTGAAGAAGGAGAGCAAAAAGCAAAATACAGTAATTTAAGGTGATTGTTGCACAGTTTGATGATATTTTCACAAGCTGATGTGGCGGGAATGGTAAGAGGCCATGAGATTGATGCTATAGAATATTTCTTGTAATCTCAAATGTTTGTAATGTTTCGGCAGCATTTGGATAGGTATGAGAACATCGATAGTGACTGTGCTGTGCAACTGAAAGATGGTGGTAAATGGGTGTTCTGTGACACTCAAGTATTGATTTCTGAGGTTGTATTTGTAATAAACAGAGTTCCTTTTAAGCAACAGAAGTTTTTCATGACTTTTTCTACAGTCATCTTGGAAGTCTTTTAGGATTTTTCATTCTACCACTTCTAGATGTAGCCGCTGTAGGCTGTTTCCCAGTCCTGACAGAGACTTTTTATGGACTGTAGATTTCTTAGCAGCTCTAATAAATTCTGAAAAAATAAATGAGATCTGAATGGCATATAGAAAATGACCTATGTGAGAAATTGGTAGTAATAGCTAAATAATTTTGAAGCAAAACCATTAAGTACACACTGGCAGCTCAGCATTCTTTTGAAGACAGTTTTATTTGCAAGACTCTGAAAGTTTGCATTCCACTTAGTAAATTTACCTGAGCTCTAGGCAGTAAAGACAACTTTGTTCCCAGGAATGAAAATAGCCTGGATAAATAAAATAAACTACTTCAAAGATCATTGCAACATTGAAAGCTGACAACAATAGAAGGGTATCCTCACCTGAGTCCTTATTATCAGAGCTGGATTAAGTGGAGGACCATAAGAGTAGCAGTTCTGCTAATTCTGAATTTACGTGATGTTAAAATTAATAATGTCAGGACATCAATGGGAATAATAATCTTGTACCTTACTCTGCGTAGCCAACCTGGTTTTCTCTTCCTCTTCACCTACTTGGACTACAAAGCTTTTCTTCTCCCACTACAGACTGACAGCTGAATATTGGGCATTTGTGGTAGGTGCATGTTGCTCTTGAGTGATGGGTGACATTGAGACCTTTCTCATTTTGCAAAATGACTTCTGTGAGGAGGCGAGTTTCATGGGGGTCCAAGCTTCCAGTGGATCATCAAAATGGTCTGGAGGATTGATGAGGTGAAAGAGAACAACAATGACTTACAGCCTTCCAG